CCACCAGGGATGGAGCATTCACAACCTGCCTGGGCAACCCATTCCAGTGCCTCACCACCCTAACAGGAAAGAATTTCCTCCTTAGATCCAATCTAAACTTCCCCTGTTTCAGTTTGAACCCGTTACCCCTTGTCCTGTCACTACAGTCCCTAATGAAGAGTCCCTCCCCAGCATCCCTATAGGCCCCCTTCAGACGCTGGAAGCTGCTCTGAGGTCTCCACGCAGCTTCTCTTCTCCAGGCTGAACAGCCCCAACTTTCTCAGCCTGGCTCCATACGGGAGGTGCTCCAGCCCCTGATCATCCTCGTGGCCTCCTCTGGACTTGTTCCAACAGTTCCATGTCCTTTTTATGTTGAGGGCGCCAGAACTGCACACAATGCTCCAGGTGAGGTCCCACAAGAGCTTATACATGTATATATTAATATATATGTCTTAAAAAATGCTGTCACAGTGAGATTTTGTTGGCATAATAGGGTCTCTCTCAAATGAAACTGTGTGAAGAGGCATTGGATAATATAATAATGGTGCTGCTGTTTGGTGGAAAGTGGGGGGCAAGAAGGGCTTGTTCATAAAAGTACCGGAGCTCGGCATGTTTTTGCAATGTACAGCTTTCCTGCTCAGTTACACTGAAGGGACCCATGTGTGCTTCTTGGCAGTGAGAACCACAGGTGGTTCTGACTAGCACATTGACTTGTGTTTGAATGGAGAAGCGTGCACATGGTGAGCATCGTGGCTTCTTGGCCAAGGAATGGTGAATTATTACAGGAGGCTCACTCAGTTGCTTACAGCTGTGGCAGGTCACTGTCATTCCCCAGACAGTCCCACTCACCACTTGTGAGGCTGTGGGGGGTCTCTTGTGTCTTTCTCTTACATGTCTTTTATTGTGGTGGAAAAAGCCTTTAACCTGTAACAGTTCATTAGTAAGTTATGTAGGAAGGGACTGTCACAGTGAGTAGAAGCACAGGCACTTGAAGTACATTATACTTCACAGTTGTCTTGATTTTTAATCCTATTAAGACAACTTATTCCCATGATTATATATTGACTTTCACTCTCCTTTCCTGCTAATAAGCTGCAGACAAAGTCATCCAAAGCCTTATAAGTAACAGGAATAGTGTGTGCCGCTTAGCATGGGTTTATTAAGTCCTGGACACAGCTCTGTGGCATTTGGCTCCTGTTTCATTTCTTGCTGTTATGCACAAAGTCCATTTTCAGCCCAACTGCTTACCCTCCTGTCGAATGGAATTGGTGATGGGTGCTGCCCAGTTCTGTTGTGCAAAAAAGAAAGGAATGAAAGAGACCACAGTGCATTGCAAAGCAAAAAGGGGGAAAAGCAGGCCTATAGCTAATAGTTTCAAGTAGGAGCATCCAGCTTAATATCTAGTCCTATACACACAGAAGAAGAAATGAGATTCTTTAAAATTCAGATAAGCGGAGTTAGTTTGCAGCTAAAGATTCTGAGCACATTGCTTTTGTGTGATAATATTTTAGATTTATTTCCCCAACTTATTGCACATTCATTTTGGGGAGTTTTCATTGCAGAAAATTGCCAGGAGGAATGGATTTTGTCTTCCTCAGCTGGCAGAACAATTTTCCACCTGTCGCCCAAATATTTGATGAGAAGGATTATGGTACAGCTGTGAGAAGTTTATACTTTATATCCATAGGAAGCAAGAGGGTCTGATGAAACTAATACACTGATAGCAAAAGTTGGCTTGCTGAACTGAATATTCAGCACTTGTGACTTCCAGTGTGTGCTGAACAACTTGGGAGAGCCCAGGGTGTAGAGTAAAGAAATAAGCATGGTTGTAGTGTGGGGTTTTGAGCAGTTCTTCATTCCCCACTAGTGCTTCCTTTCTTCAGAGGAGCAGCTTTCCTGTTAGTGCCTGACTTAGTTACTGGGTTTCCTCTCCAGAGTTTCTCCAGTACTGGTAGGTCCTGGACCCTGTCGGTGTAGCAAACTCATCGGCACAGCAAGAGGAGTTAGAAGGGTCCATTGAGTGCAGCTTCTATTGCAGCTTCTCCATAAGATGCCATCCTGTGAGGTGTCAGGGTTTAAGAGAGTTATCAGGAGGAAACAGCAGCTACCTCAGCTGTGTAACTTAAAAGCAGGAGAAATGCTCCTGCCCATCCCAGGTAGATGTGAATGTCCAGTAAAAATGTAAAAACCACCCCCCACACTCTAACTATTGGCTTGCAAAGACATGACGTTTCTCTCTGCTTTGCCGAATGCTCTGACACCATTCAGAGCACTGGGGGTTGGTAGTCTTCCTTGCTCCCGGGTGTAAAAACACCATCAGAAAGAGCATTTTTCCTCAAGAGTTAGGTGCTTAACACTTAAACCATGAATTTTGCTACAAGGTTCAATCCGTTCTGGAAATTGAGTAGAAATAATTTAGCTATAATACTGAGTTTTATCAGCTTGGAATCTTCATTCTGCTGCTAGCCAGGTTTTTCCAATAAAGCAAAGTTGATCATGGAAGGTGATTCTGGATTTGAGTTTCTGTGATTTTCAGGTTGTGTTTCACAAGCCTGAAAACTGCAGGTAGAATACACAGAGAAAACCAGCCCAAATACGCTTTAGTTTGATGTCTGCTAGTTCCAAAGGTATTTGTTTGTTCAAAAGCAGTGCCTTTCTGGAGTGCTGATTGAAAAGGAATTCTATTCCTCTTCAATGTGTAGAGTTTAAAGGAAAATGATGCAGCGAAGCTCATCAGCATGCATGTTCTATTACTGACCGTTCTCACTGTCCCTGTATTGTCAATCTTTGCTGAAAACTGTGTCCCTGTAGGCTTTAGTAAATCCGAGCGTACTAGAGGAAATAACAAAGGCATTAAAGGATTTTGTGTGGGCAACAAAATCTCTTATTTCCATCAATATCTGAGTGACTTCCAAAAACCCCACGTTGTTGCATGTGGGACAGGGTCATGCGATTAAAACAACATAGCCAAATCTCACTAAGTTGCTTTTCTGACTGAAAAACGACTCAAATTTCATTATGGAAACAGTTCCATGTGTAAGCAAGTTATGTGTTCTGGCCTTCCTGTAAAAATGGATGTACACATGGAAGACAGCTGGCATTACTTAGTTACAAAGGGTACAAAAAAGATGATAGATGAAAGAAAGATGGATTAAGATGCCCCTTGGCTTATGTTTTTATGACATGTTTTCTTTAGGAGTGAGCACTTCCCCATCACCAACCCACCCTGCTTGTGACAGCATCAAACAGCTCATGTTTCCCTCAGCGTGGCTGTTGGACACAAGCACAGCAATCCCTGAGGAGGTGCAGGATCAGTGTTCTCAGGTGCTCATCAGGAACCCTTAACCAGAATGTAAAGCCGTATCATTAAATCCAGATGCCACCTGGGAGGAGAATTGTGCCCTCAGTTTCAGTGGGGCTGGGATTTCATCCTTCGTGTCTCGCCCTAAGTAGTGAATTTAGTGGGATAACAATGGGGCTTTCTAAGTTCTGCAGCTCTTCTTCCTCAACACAGGTGTGTTGCTACCTCAAAGCACCGATGGGAGCATGGGATTTCCAAGCATCTCCAAAATCTTCTAATGACGTTTTTGTTATTTCCTACAAAGCCTGGATTTAATCAAGCCTACAGGGACACGGTATTACTGAAGATTGACAGGATGGAAATTGGCATAAATGTTCAGTAGCGAAACGCTGAAAATTAGGATAATATTTTATAAAGCACACAGTGAATGTAGTTTAAACCACTGAAGTCATTGGAAAATCATAGTGATTTCCCAGCACATACACAGTGTATCTTTGCACACAAGATACACTGTGCTGAGAGATACCTATTTTTAAAGTATGTTCTCGTTATTCCATCATCTGCTAGACCTGAGAAGGATTTGAGACATACTTCATATGGCCATAACTTAACTTTCATCTAACTTAATTTCATTGGTTTGGGTTAAATCACATCTCTATTGCCCTCAGATATTCCTCTTTCTCAGGTACTGTGTTCCCATCATCTGCATGTAGACTGTGTCCTCCTCTGTTACCGTTTGGCTACACTGTCTGTATTCAGTACTTTATAATCTGCTTCCATAAATTGATCCCTTCTGACTTAGTTTTGTTGCTGTTCTCTGGATTTTCTCACAAAACTACTGAAAATAAATCCCAGTGTTGCTAAAAATCAATGGGAATTTCCTGGGTTTGACAGCAGCAGCTAGTTTTTCACTCAATTAGAAGAGCTGTAGTAAAGGAGCAGCCTATATTCCAGTGCTTGTGTGTTCATGTCTGAGCACAGGAACTCAGAAAATAAGCCACCTTAGGCTTATACATTGCTGAGCAAATGCCCTTGGATCCCACTGTTTGTGATCTGAGCTGTAAAGCTCACAGTCTTGCAGTTTCTGGCCCTACAGAAGCCACTTTTCCACTTTTATGTTGCCTTAAAGGGGCTGCAGTAAATGGGAACAGTGTAAAAGCATATGGAAAATTTCCTCTAAGTGCGTATGAAATCACAGTTTGCTTATTCCAGTATTGGAGTGCTACAGTAATGCTGTTCATATCAATATACTTCGCTGTGGTTAACACTCTGATCCCTGTTAGATCTGCAGCAACTGTCTAAAGGAAATTAATTTCAGGGGAAAGAAAGGAAGATTCAGTAGTGAAGGCACTGGGCTGTCAATCAAGAGAATAAGGTTTAGTTTCTACTTCTTCCACAGACTTTCTGTATGACATTAGGTGACTCCTTTAAGCTCTCTGTGCCTCAGTGCCCCAGCTCTAAAGTTGTCAATAGTGATGATGCAGTTTGCTGATGCTTTTCTGTCAGTTTTCTTGACAGTTCTTATACTCAAATGATCTGATATTTGTGTGTGTGTCATTGCTTCAAGGCACGATTCTGACAGCTCTTGAGTTCTACAGGTGTTTTTCCAAGTAAAATTTGTTTTTAAATCAAATCCAAAATGTTTTTTAATGAATGAAATGAGAGGATACAAAGGGTGCAACAACATAAAAATGTGTATTTTCCTTTCCTTCCCTTTCAGGCAATGATAACAGTGAAGCCCTTCCAGAGTCTATCCCATCTGCTCCTGGAACACTGCCTCATTTTATGGAAGAACCAGATGATGCCTACATTATAAAAAGCAACCCTATTGTCTTACGCTGTAAAGCTATGCCAGCTATGCAGATTTTCTTCAAGTGCAATGGTGAATGGGTCCATCAAAATGAGCACGTGTCTGAGGAAAGCATGGATGAGACTACAGGTAAGGGCAGTGTGTCCTTCGGGAGACGTATCTGGATGCAGGGTCTATTCACAGTGTGCAAAGTAGAGCAGAGAACGGGAGATCCCATCCAGAGATAGAGTCCTGGGCTGTAGCAGGTAGCTGTGGGTTTGTGCTGAGCTCAAGGGAGCGGAACCAGCTCTAATTCAAAGGACTCGTGCTGAGGCTGTGCTGCCCTGAGCACAGGGAGGATGCCCCTATGGGAAGGCACAGTCTGTCAGCATTAGCTTAGTGTTGGGCTGCTGCAGCAACAGCTTTTGGTTAGCTTGCTGGTGTGTGGACCACGCAGACACAGCTCTGCGGAGCAGGAGAGGCAGTTTCCCAAAACACAAAAGGGAAACCAATGGATGGGAGAAGGTATAAAAAGGACAGGGCTGACAGGCAGGGAAGGGGAATACAGGTCCGGCAGGAGAGGCACAGCATGAATAGGGAAAACAGAGGGAATTAAAATGACTGTAGATGTGGGAGGCATTGCACAGAGATGTAACAAACTGGACACATACCACCAGATCTGGTCATACGCTAACCATAGTCAGTGAGCTGTCTGAAAGAAACCAGCAGTTCTGGAGGGAATAGCGGTCCTCTGTATTTCAGTGGTGTAATTTCTAGTGGAAACAAGAAACAGGGACACATATGCCTTTATGCAGTTCCTGTCAGGATGAGCCCTGAAAAACTGCCAGTGTGGTGGCTGAAATGTGCCTTCACGCCCAAGCAGTGATGGGTGTTTGGTAGCTAATAAAGCTAAGTAAGAAAATCCACTGTGAGCATCTGAAAGAGAAGGGAGAAGGTTGAAAATGATCAACAGATTCTATTATGCTCCCAGCACACCCTATATCTTTTCTCATTTAGAAGCACCTTGGTAAGTATTACAAACCAATTTAATGCTGCACCCTCTAGTCATTTCACAATTCTGCTTTGTTACTGCTTTTCTCCTCTTTCTAAATTCCCAGATTGCTAAGCAACTCCCATGCCTTGGAAATAGCAGTGTATGCATAACATCCTCTCTATCAACACAAGCAATTCCTTTCTAGGGGAAAAAAATACCATTTAAAACAAAAGTTACATCTCCTAGAGCGCGGTTTGGCGTCCTTTTTAAGTGATGCATTCTGAAGGAATTTAGTACTAAAGGCTTTTGGTAAATGCTAATCTGGATGAGTTTGAATTTTTACAGTTACCTTTATGAAATTATCTTAATAGGCACAACCTTTACTTCTAAAGGCATTGCTGAGTCAGTGTGGAAGAAATGTTCTCCCTAAAAGTTGATCTTCCATATGGTTAATGAAAACCTTGTGTCTGTCTTGTGAATGCTGCAGTTATGTTTTGGGAGCCTTGGATTAATAACCAAAAAAGATAAAGTAGCATTAGGTGGGATTTTTAAGTAACAGTGAGGTTTGAGACCTGGAGGCATGGGCTGTGCAGATGAGATGGGGCATATGAATGTTGCAGGTTTGAATTTTGCCCAGGAACAGAGCTAACCCTGAAAGCGTTGTTCTCTAAACACGAATGTGGGGCAGACAGTGCAGTGCTGAGCATTCCACAAAGTGCCATAATGGCCCTTAGGACATAAAAATGGAAGTAAAGGCCTGTTTACAGTGTGAAGTTGAAGGACAGGCATGGATAGTCTCTCACCATGATCCAGAAAGTATTTTGGAACTCTTCCTTTGCCAGTAAACAGCAGACTACTGGGTTTTATTTAGAATGAATGTGCGTATTGGCAGCGCCCTCATTTCTGGAGTCAAATCTGGGGCATAAACATGTCTGTTACCAAGTGTGCACCGTGTTCTGTGTGCTGTGAGAGCTCCATCTGTGGAAGACTGCACTGGAAGCCGTGCCAAGAACGGTGCCTGTGGTTAAAGGGGATGATTCTGGCGCGCTCGCTAAGAGAGGGTACAGTACAGGAAAGCGGGGCTGTCCTTTTACATCCTTCCACTCTTTGTTATGTGATTAAAATTCTGAGATGATGTATAGAAAAGTGGTGAAAAATAGCAACAAGAAACCCAAACAAGAGGAAATTCAATGCAGAATGCAAGAACTGTGTCTTAGCATCTCTATAAATTCCTGCCAGCAAGCTCTTAGCCAGGCATATGCAAGGCGAAGTTGGCAGCGGCGCTTGCGGGCACACTGTCCTGATGGATTTTACCTACAGTGCTGTATTGTGAACATGGAGAAGGACAGGAGGGACAGCTGTTGGTAGACAATGGGCATATTTTGTTGCTGTGATGAACATGGAATCCAATTTCACACGATCCTGTCTTTATAGGACAGAAACAGAATCTTCGAGTACCGCAGGAGTCCCTGTTCGTTTGTAGAGGAGGAGCAGCAGGAGGGGAAGGATTTCTGTCGCCTTGGAACTGCTGTAGCAATGGGCTGTGACATGTACTAGCTGCTTGAGCGTGGAAGCCTTGGCTTGAGGAGTTTGCACTGAAGTCTCTGCTCTTGTGGAGCTGCTGCTGTTTGTGCAGCAAATTAGTGCAGGCACACACTGCCATTGCAGCGGGTACGGGTTCCCATCACTGCGCTGCCGCACGCAGTCGCTCCATTAGAGACCCCGCTATTTCATCCTCCCCTGCCTTATTTCCCGAATTGCAGAAAAGGCAGTAAATCCATAGCCTCCCTCTTCTCTTTGTTCCATGAACGGAGCTTTGCTTCGTGTCCTCTACCCCATAAAGCAAGAGCCCGAGCTAGTAGATGCTACTGTGATAAAAACATAATCATTACGATTTGATGAACTGCCTTCTGCTTTATTTTCCTTGCCTGAAGGTTGCAGCATGCACCTCCGAATTAGTTTATAAATACTTCAGGTTTCACCAGAGGATCAGGCCAGCTAAGAGTGACTAGAGTTTTCTTGCCTGATAAATAAAAGGATTGCAGCGATAACTGCTGTCAGTGTTGTTCTCATTTAAACAAATAACGCTGACAAATGCTGAAGTTCTGTGCAGCTCTGTTATGTTTAGTACATGGAGAGCAATTATTCATCTGCTGCCAGTGTTAGTCTATCTGCAGCTAAACCATCCAACAGTGCAGAAAGCTGATTAGCATATCAGTACTATAATTTTATATTCTGTAAGGCTGTGCTGTGTAACAAAAGATGATGGTTATAATTTGCACAATAATTTAAAGGGTTGCTCTTGCGGTGCTTTATTAGAGTTACACAAGTCACAGGTAAAATGTTGCTCGTGTTCATTACGTGCCTGCTTTTCTTTGCATGGGTTTTTCGTTCTGTGTCATTTCCTAGGAGCAATTTTTCTGGCATTTCTTGAGCTGCAGAGGGTCGCTGAGGGTATTTGTTGGTGAAATACAGTGATGGTAAATGAAGAATACGTGCTGCTCTTCCCAAGAGGTTTGCTTTGTGTGCTTGTTTCTAAAGCAATGAAAATAGGGGTCCTTTCCCCATAAACAAAACTTAACTTCCCCAGAGACAAGGTGTTCCAACCTCAGCAGTTCTGTGATTCTGCCATTTTGGCTGCATTTATTTTGTCTATTGGCAAACTGGGAGACCTTTAAAGGGACCCCAATTCCTCCCTGGCCCGTTGTTACAATGCTGAACCACCACTTTCTCAATCTCACGTGCTGGTCGTTTGCCTCATTCAAACCCCATTTAATGTTGCTTCAGAAAAGAGAGGCTGATATATAGATTAATTAAATCAGGCATCAATGGAAGGAATAGCTGGGCCAGAGAATGTTCTACCTTAATAAATCCGAAGCTGTAAATGCCTCTATTCACTGACAGCTGCTTGGAATTTTACACTACCAATGAGCCCAGAAATGGCTTCTTGTTTGGTATCCGTGCAGACTGTGGGTGGTGTTAGCATGGCTGCCTCAGTAAGCTGTACAATATGCAGCTCCCCTTCCTTTGCTTCTGTTTGCTGCTTCCAGAAATTCCTGAGTAGCTGAGAAATGGTGAGAGTTCAGAACACATCGTGGCAGGTCCAGGGGGGTGACTGATGGCTGCCTGCGAGGCTGTAGCTAATGGCTGGTGATGGGGAGGATTCTCTCCCTGTGAAGATACTCCTTAGCAGTCAGAGTAGGAAGGAGCTGATCATGGGATGGAAGGAGAGCTGGAGATGCTGAGAATGCGCAGGGAAGGGTTGTACCTTCCCAGCTGCATGCAGAGCAGTGCTGTTTGCAGGCAGCACAGGCAGGATGCACCGTGTGTGTGTCAGCTGATTGAGTGCTGAGTGATTCCTGACTGAGGACCACTCAGAAAGGTCACTCTTTGTCAAGGACTTAATCATTTTACACCCTTCTTGAAGAAGGCTTTAAGTAGATGGGTGGCAACCTTGTTGGCCATGGAGACTTTGGAGCTTTGATGCTTTGTGGCTTTGATTGATATCATTCAGGGACTGCACAGCTTGATTTGCCAAGGGTAAGTAACAGGAAAGTGTGTGACTGTCATGCAGCATGGAGGGATGCTGAATCTTCAGGCTGTCAAAACCTGCTGTGTCAGGTCACCAGGACTCAGATGCTCACAAATGGAACTTAACCATAGCTGCTCTTATCTTTAACCTACAAAGATGACTCTGCAAATGGTTTATGGCTGAGAATCCAGGGATTCCTCACGGGCAGAGCAGCTTGGATGTCTAAATTGGGATGGTGCATTTTCATCATGCAGTCTGTCAGCAGGGAGAGAGGAGTTAGATGCAGAGCTGCCGAGTTCCACGGGCTGTGTGTGTTTCAGAAGGGCTTGTTTTCACCGTGTCAGGAAACGAAGAGACGTTTTGTAAACAGTTTTGTTGGAAACTGCATCACCATGTTTGAAAGAGCACAATGCAAATAAAAGCAACCTGGAAACCTCTGTTTGCTTATTACAGCACGAGTAAATATTTGAGTGACTAAGCTGATTATTGAGACAAGGCAGGACTCTACTGCAGGTTTGTACGTGTCGTTAAGTACCGTGGTGAAATGGCAAGCTAAATGGAAAGAAGGAAAAACCCCCTTTGCCTATTGCTGGAAAAGCAGCAAAGCTTTTGTGTTGCTTTATAGTATTTAAAGCCTGTCTGACCTTCCCCACCCCTCTTCATGAGCATCCCCAGTGGCCTCAAGTCTCCTGTGCACCAAAGGAACACGGTGACTCCCCAGTGCCTTCCAGGAGGGAAGCACCCAGCTGGTAATGGTGCCTGAGATTAAGCAGAAGCCAACTTTTATGGAATTCATGTTTAGGAGTTTCTTGCTGCTTTATAAACTTCGCAGGCATGAAATATTTTAACATTGAGTTTTCATTCCCTTCCGGTGAAGGGGAAAGAAGTATCCTGGGGGACAGCACAGGAGGAGAAAGAAGAAAGTAGAAGGCATGAATGCTTTCTAGTTTCAAATTAACATCTTCCTGACCAGCACTTTCAACTGATTCCTAATGCCTTTCAACCCACGTTTGGATTATATTTCCTCTCCCCAAGGTTATTGTGCAGATACGCAGCTATGGCGAACATCCCAAGTGGAGGAACGTCTCCATTTGTGAGCTGTGAAGTGCATTCACTTCCCTTTATTTTCTCCTCCTTTCAGGGTGTAATGGCTTGAGCTTACCTTTCTGTGTGCTGCAGTGACACAGCTTTTCCCCCCTGCATGAGGAAGTGGCTGCTGGATGGAGCTGTGGCAGTGTTGGCTGGAACAGGCTGGAATTCAATGGGACATTAGATTAGTTCCTGTCATACGTGCATAGTTCTGTCTGACTCAACTGGGGGCCTGCCAGGGTACTTCAGAAAGGTTTTTAAGGGCATGTAGATGTTAGTTTGGAAGATAATTCAGTTTTATATTATAGTATCTAAGTCCAGATACACATTCTGGGTGAAAAAGCACAAGAGCCAAGGTTTCTGAGGGAGGCATTGTATTCTTGCAAAGACCACAGTGGGTGGGTAGTTCTTGTAACTCAATGCATTATGACCTGCTCAGCTTTTAGAATTTAATTAGTGGCAATATGTTATTGTTAAAGGAATTAAAGCTTTGCCTTGATTAAAAATGGAATTGTGTAATTAAAAGGAAAGGTTTGGCTAACCTTAGCTTTATGCCCAAGCAAGAGGCTGTCATTAACTAATTTCCTCTATCTTTCCCTTTAGGATTGAAGGTTCGGGAGGTGTTCATCAATGTGACGAGACAGCAGGTGGAAGATTTTCATGGCCCAGAGGATTACTGGTGTCAGTGTGTGGCATGGAGCCATCTAGGGACCTCAAAGAGCAGGAAGGCATCTGTCCGCATAGCTTGTGAGTAGAGGAAACGTTCTGCTATTCCAGGTTTTGTAAGGCATGGAAACAACGCTGTTCTTGTAGGGTTCAGTGTAAATAAGTGCTGCTGGTTTGCCAGCCCTCCCTTGTGAGATGCTGTAGGACTAGCACAGAAAGCATGATGGGGCTTTTCTCTTTTATTTCAGTGTGGATTGATCAGTCTGCATTTACACTCGGCAAATCTGTTTCAGAGATTCTGGTCACAGTGTCACAACAGTGCTGTGTAATAAAAAAGGTTAAAGCCAACAGAAGATCCCCTGGGAAGTGCCCTTTTCCTCCAAGTTGATCACAGGGGTCAAAGAAACATGAAAAAACCACATCAGTGTCTGTATCCTACGCTTCCTTTAAAACAAAAAGGGGCAAGAATACATTAGAATCTTCTGTATTTTGTATCTGGGTTTCAGTTTTGAAGCACATCATTGGTTGGCAGGTGAGAGCCTGAAACCATCCTTCTACAGCAGTGCTGCAAGCAGACAATTGTGGAGTTTACTTTCCCCCGGTCTGCTGTGAACTCTTGTCCTTTAAATTAGCAGTTCAGGTCTTTAAAGAACTAGTCCCAGGCAGTGATGGCAATAACCTGCAAAAGGCTGGGAGAAATGCTGCTTGGAAGGAGATGAGGGCGCAGAGGAACAGGATGTGAAGGTTCAAGCAAGAAACTGGATGGTAACTTGATCAGATTCCTGATAAATCTTTCTAAAATGATGCCTTTTTAACAGGACACCTTAAAATAAGCCTTGAGATAAGGAGTAGGACAATGTAACAACTCCTTGATTTTATAGATCCCAGATCTTTTTGTTGGCTGCTTTAGTTTGAATGTGTAAATATGCGTACGTTTGGGTTTTTATTTTACTGCATTAACTGTCATAACCCTGAACGAGCTAATAATTCCCCTGTATTGCTAAGCTGCAGAGGACTGTTAATCTGAATTGAATTTTTATCGACTTTTCTCTGCACTGTGATTTCCCAAACCCATCACATGGCAATATGAGTGAAAATCAGAACGGGCAGAAGTGGGTGGAGCTGTGTGTTGGGACTTTTAAACCCATCACCATGGCACCAGGTCTTGTGTAAATCCCCATCCCCAGCAGCCTCCCATAACTGCAGGTACTGCATCACCCTTGGCAGGCACCCCAGGGTGCTGCACTGGTCGTGGCTGTACATTTGTCTGAGAGCTGTGCTCCTGCACTGGCCTTTTTTGTGCCACTTTCCATTTCAAAAACAAGACTTCAAGGGCAAGAACAGCAGTTCTGGAGTGCGGAGATGATGGGACCTGTTAGGACTCCAGACAGGGAATATGAAGAGTTACCAACTGGTACCCGTCACCAACCCCCATGAGATTCCAGGGCTCACTCCTTCTCAGACCTGTGTCATCCTGTCTGCAGTGAACAACCCCAGCTGTTGATTTGGGGAACAAGTTTCTCCCTTGGGAAATACCCTGTAAAGGACTAGAGACAGGAATGTGTAGGTGCAGGTTGTGGTAGTGTACAGAGCCATAGCATTGACAGCACACGTCATTGCGGTGTGTAGTGTGGTGGGGTCAACTTCTTTCTTCCCTTTCTTCTTTGATCACTGAAGCCTAGAGATTCTGAATTGTGAGTCAAGACCAAAGCATTAAAGCACTTTATATTTCTCTGAAAAAACAGGTAAGTATTTCTTTATGATAGCATGGAATGCAGAGAAAATGAGAAGATGGATCCTACTCCATTTTTCATGCTAATAAAGGCATTTGTAGGCTCAACTGCATCCTAGCTGTTAATGAATGACTTTTTAAAGAGTACTGGAAGAGATAGTGGTTATCTGTGGGGGAAGAAAATCAACATTAAGAAAGAATCATAAAAAGGATTATACATGCACTGCGTGCGTCTTTCTCTAGTGACCGGCTTGCTAAAATAAGTTTTAATGTATTTTGGAATATATATTAAAGTGTAACTGACTCAGAGCCTCTGCATTTAAGGGGGTGTATTTCATGAAGTGTAAGCAATGGAGGAAATTAAATCCGTAAATCCACCTTGTGGAATCTGAGACACTGTTTGAAGAAAATGAGTATGTCTAATGGAAGCATCCTAACTCTCAAAGCACGTGTACCAAGTCACATCCCTTTCTTTTTGTTTTCCTCTCACAGTAGCTTAACTCCACGTATTCATGGGCATGGCTGGGTTAGGCCAGTGTCACTGGGGGCAGGTTTGCTTCGTTCTGGTTTGCCCTCGAAGTGCTGTGACCACATCAGTGTGACTCTGAGACAGTACACTCTGTTTCTTATGCTGAATTCCTGGCTGGGCCGTGGTGTCTGAAATGAAGCAATCCTGTAATCAGCCAGTTTGGAACACGTGGAATTGCTCTCAGTCCTTCCCTTCCTTTCCCACAGCTTGCAGTATGTAGGCGAGCTAAACAAATCATCTGGCTTAGGACATTTGATGAAATACCCTGGCACTCATCTCAAGTAGTGTGCACTGGGGAAATTATTTGCCCAGTCTTGGATTCATTGGGTTGATTTAAACAGTGCCCCAGCAATGGCACGTTGTGGTTCTTGCATTTCAGTGCCCTGTTTTGGAAAGGCAATGGCTCAGGAGACAGTGCCCAAGTGGGACCATGGAGTTTGTGGGTTCGAAACCAGATTGTCTCTGCGGTCACACAGAAGTGGTTTCTTAAAGGTGGAGGAATGAAAACACAACCGATGGGATTTCCTTCCTCTGCATCTAGGGAAGAATGAGTAGCTCTCGGTTGCCCATTGCTTCAGACACACATGGCAAAGCGGTGTTGGGTGGGGAGGAATGGCTTTTGTGTAATGAGTCATTGCATTGAACCCTGCAGATTTACGGAAGAACTTTGAGCAAGATCCCCAAGGGAAGGAGGTTCCCATCGAAGGGATGATCGTCCTCCACTGCCGCCCACCCGAGGGAGTCCCTGCAGCTGAGGTGAGCCTTGGTGCAGCGCTGCAAGGGGAGAGGGAGAAGGGAGGAGGAAGGCAAAACCTCATGGCTTTCAAGGTCTGCTGTTGGTTACTGTGTTCTTCTCTCACAGACTGCTTTAAATAGCAATGGGGTTTATTATATAAGATTTAAAAAGGAATGGCTTTTAATCAGAATTCAGGCATGCTGCTGGAAAAAAAGAACTCCTGGGTTTGGTAGTTTTCAAGTGTGAGGCTTACAGACTGAAAACAGATTGTTACTTATTTTATCAAAAAATCCTCTTTTTATTGAAAAATAAAACATAAAAAACCCTCATTCACCCTAAAAATATTATGATAAATTGTTGCTGGAGACAGAAAATCTGCCACAAATAAGAATTGGGGCTTTTTTTTTTTTTCTTTTATGCTGAGCTTTGAACATGCTTTTTGTTGAGAGAATTGCATCCTAGCAGGAAAGTAATGGGGATGCCTTAAAATGATAATAGCCCAGTTATTCTTGGAGGAAGATGTTTTAAGTGGCTTGGGCTTAAAAATCCGCTAGGGAGGCATGCAAAAAGACGATGTGCTGGTTGAAGTGAGCACGGCATCTCCTTGTTCTTACCTGGCAAAGAGCTGACTGGTGGTGGGAGTCCTGAGCCAGTGCTGCCCTGGCAGGACCCAGGGCAGTGTTTAAATCTCTTGGGTCCTTGGGTGAGCTGTGGTGAGCACGCTGAGGCTGCAGCCGCAGGGCCGGAGCCGTGAGAAGCCCCAGTAACGCTGTGCTGTGCTGCTGATCACACGCTGCAGCATGCTCACTGGCTTCTTTTGATGAGGGTGAGAAATAGTATCACTCAGAAGGGATTTTTGCCCTTTATCTCCACTGTTGCTGTGGTGTGTTGCAACTGAAGCAACAAAAGAAGCAAGGAAAATAAACTCCAAAGAACAGGAATCCTTTTAGTTAAGGAGAAACATGTTGATCGGATGAAAATAGAAGAGAGGAGAAATGCAGCAAACTGATGTGCAAAAGATACTGAAAATCATGTAGAAGTGGCAAAGGTCAAAAGACAGATGGGTTAGAAATAAGAACGGTGAATAGATGAATTTGTATACAGGCATCTAATGAGCTTTACTCTATCATTCCAATTTCTGATGCCACATTCTCCTCAGCCGTGCCTTACTTTTACTCATGTTAATGGTGTTAGAAAAACGGATACTGCATTGCAGAGAATTGTCAAAATCATTCCAATATATATTGTGGTAACCACGTCTATTCTATAGACAAAGCAAACTTCCAAAGGTGTAATTGCCAAACCATCCTTTGTCTGTGTGGGATTCATTGCCCACGCTCTGCAGAAGGGATGGAAATCGCTGCCTGCAGAGATTCCCCCAAAGCCACCAGTGGGCAACCTCAGCAACCTCTTCCTCACAGACAACGTGAGCTATTAACCCAGGTTCTGTGAGTGCACATCCCTCCAGAGCGCCAGCGCATCCTGTCTCGCATAAATGTGCTCTCTCTGTGGTAAACATTTCCGTTTTGCTTATTCCTTTAACCCTGGTTCCCCTCCTGCCACAAAACTACAGTAAAATTAGTGACTGTTTCTTCATCAAATACCCCAAATCAAGTGCAGAGTTGTAGGAGAAAGGCTGAAAACAAGCAGTTACAAAGTGAAATGAAGCATCTACTTGACTGCAGAATCTTAGCTGTGGAAATAACCTGACCTGTGGTCCTGGTGCTGTGTGTCAGCCTGGTTTTCCTGAGGAATTCTGCCTTGTCCAGCGCCTTCAAATCCTGGTCGTCTCCCCCTTAGTTCCCTTCTTCTTTCACCCACCACTTCCTTCTCTCTTCAGTTGCCTAATAACACACTCTCTCAAAACCTTGTAGGCTCAAGCACTCCTTGTGTCTCTCATTACGCTCTGTTCACGGAAGGGGTGTTCTTTAAAGTGATGAGGATCCCAGTACCTCTGTCAGGAGATGTTAGGACGTTTTCCTGCCCTAACTGCTCTCATAGGCCTGTATGTCAGTTTGATGTTGTTACTAATTCCAAAACCACAGCACTTCAAGGTGAGTTTTCAAATTTAAAACTATAGAGAATCAATGTGTTTTCTTGGAGATCAAAAGAAACCAGTGATGAGAGGTACAGTTCTACCCAACACATATGGTTTGCTGAACTGGAGAGCACACATTTGACTGTTTTCCAGTTTCTGTACAGTTTAATAGCCAAAAATGTGATTTTTATTGGAATTCAGCCACTTTAGGAAAAAAAATGGTGATTCTCAGTCATCACAGTTTGAATTTTACTGAGAATTTTAGAATGATTTGAACTACGCTGCTTTACACTCAACAATTAAACAGGCTGTGTGTCTTGTATGAAAGTTAGTGAGAAACAGACATTTTAATTGCTTTCTACAGCTCAAAGACTGTAGAGTTCTCAATAAACCCAGATTTACTGATGTTGATTGTAAAATTGTTATTGCTGCTAATACAGCCTCTAAATCTTAACAGGTCATATCTGCTTTGGACAATAAAATTTCACATAAAGGCTCAGAATCAAGGCTGATTCTGTGCTCAGGTAAACAGTCTACTGGAAATAATGCAGTGTCTTTCGAAACTGGGTACCAGGTTCACTAAGTAATAGCTCTGCTCTGCGGCAGTAAGCTTGAGGTTATAAACACTTGCAGTGTTTTTGAGGTAAAGTCAACCTGCCGTGTTAAATGTGGATGAGAAATAACTGAGCTAGCCAGCAAGTCTTGCTCAATAATTGTTATGTGGGTACTGAGATGTGTAGAAGGCTTCAAAAACCATTGCTGGCACCAGATCTGTGGTTCTGATCCAGGAATTTATTTCATTAGAGTTTGGATGCAGCCCGAGATGAAAACATAAAGCTGGAAATAACTGCAGACAAAGAAGCTTGTGTTCTGTTTCATTAGATGCAAAATAGATGCTAATTGTGGCATTGTTGGGGTTGGTTTGTTTAATCCGTACTCTGCGTGGACCTGGAAATGCAAACGAAAACCAAAATGGATAGGAGACTCCAGCCCCTTTCACGTTAGCATGCTGATATCTGCCTGAATCCCAGGGGAGGATTCTGATCATTCCATCAAGTGCAGAAGTTCAGGAACAGGAAGGCATTTCCTGTGCTCCCCATAGCCACGGGTTAATCTAGTGATTTATTTCTGACAAAGGCCATGAATGACTGATACAGTCAAAGCTCTAATCTTGCCGTTGCAGTTCAATAAGAGGCAGACACTTTACAACTGGAATGAAACTTCAATTGAGCTCAGTTCTTTATGTGAGCCTGCCCCATTATCAAGAATATAAATCTTCATCTCTGGAATTGTTTTTCTGCAGCTTAAAGGTGCTGAAGATTTCTTAAATCTGAGGATAGAAGCATTAAATGCTCTTGATCTACCCCATAGTTTAATGTGAAAAATCCTGTCATTAGGCCTAGAAGAAGTGAAAAGCAGGGATATTTGTTAGTGAGAGCTGATACCATAGTTTCCTCAGAATTACCAGCAGAGATTGTCTTTCCCATTATTCCTTTCCACACTTCCAGTCTTTCCTCACATGTTTTCACCTCGGTGATTCCAGCCACTGCTGGTTTCCTGGTTTAAAACTGGGTGAGTGGATCTGGGCAGTTCCTGGTAGGGAGAGGTGCTTGTTGCTGAATAAATCATCAATTCCCAGGCATATTTATGCTGTTACGTGCCATCAGTGGCAACCCCTTACTGTGCTTTTGTGCAGGAAAAGTGTTTAACCCAGTAGCAGCATCAGGGGTCCACATGTGGGAACTCCTGAGCTGTGCTCAGTCAGCATTTTGGCCTCTGGGTTACCAGTCCTTTGGTTTTGCAATGCATTTTTGGGGTGGGATGACACAGCTCATACAGCAACCAAGAGCAAACCTCACAGAGAGGTTCTCTAAAGAGAATTCCTCTAGATCAAGTTTAGTTTTGTTGGGAGCAATTTCTGTTCCCACCATCTGTTCCAGGATGAGTAAGGCTTCCGTATCTCATCACCAGATTGTTTGATATACCCGTTAATTTCTGCACACAATATGTATATAAAGAAGTTAGGAGAACATAGATTTAAGGTTTGGAGCTGTAGTTTAAATGCATCTGAACTGTGTATGGCTTAGTGCTTGGCTTGTATAAATTAATTTCCTGATAATGGTAGCTCATGTGACATGGTCAGTGCTTTGTGTGCTTATATTGTTCAGCTTTAGTAAATAGTCTTTAAACTGAATAACACATTAGCGAAAGCAAACGATCAGGGAGGATAACAAATAAAGAACAGCAATATTCTAACTCAGCTTTAATGTTATACAAGCATGATTCAGGAGCACCAAATCCTGCTGAGGCAAGCACTGATTTTAATGCTGCTTTGAAATGCACTGTACTGTCTTGATTCATTTAGCAGCAAATTTCAGTTGCTTGTGTCAGCTGGGTCCTAAGTAAAAGACATAGAAAGGAGCATCTCTCTCAATCTGCATTCTCTTTCTGAGAATTTGATTACACTCTTTATGGCGCCAGTGTCCATTTTGTGTGCATGAAATACTATTGAATGTGCCTGATTTTACCAATAATAAAACCTTATGTGGCAACAGCAGTAGAAAATTGAGTGGCTGAGGTTTACCCCATTGGTTTACCCTTTCATATAGTTCTGACAGCCTTCGCAGGTCATGAAACCATTCTGAATTGTGTATGGGCAGGATAGGCACCTACCCCTGAACGTGGTAATAACGCACACCATCTCCTGAGCTCCCAGGACCTGCTGCCTTTCAGGTTATGTGCAGGTCCAGGTCTGCTGTCTTGAGTCACGCCATAGCACACCCTGTGTTTCAGTTTCTGCAGCCTTTGTTAGCAGGTTTCGTGTCTCCAGTTTCCCTCTGTGAAGAAAGGAACGTGAGAAGATCCCACACATCTCTGCTTTGGGAGGTTGCTGAGGGTATGGGACATTCAGGGTGCATTTGCCACAGCAGCAAGAGAGCAAGAAAACCCAAATGCTGACACTAAACAGACTGGAAAGAGGTT